CAAGAAGCAGCAAACAGCATCTGAAGCCACAGTCTATTATAAATACTTTATTTCAACTAGAAGGTACAATCTCTCATGGGTTTCATAGTTTAAAAAGCTACAATCACTTCGTGTTGTAACTATGTGAAAAGCAATGCTGTAAATTCAACTGCCTGACTTAGACCATACACATTTCTGCTAATCCTTATGGAGTCTGTATCTACCTTTGTTCCAGTTAATTGTTCTTGTATGTAAGTTGCTTGCTAGTTTAGTGTATCCAGAGCAGTGAAATAACAAACCAGCCATATAGCCAAAGTCACTCCAAGCACACAGGAGAAGGGGCCATACCAGAGGGGAACATGTATAAAAATCAAAAAAGGACAAAGGTTTTATCATCACTTTAGCATAAGTGTAACCTACATAATTCTGTATTAAAGTTTGATGTGCTTTCTTTAAGAATACCAAAAGTATAATAAAATCATAACTTCATTTATCATGAAGACTAAAAATGAACACATTTTAGTTAAGGTGCACTAAATACTGTAACAAAGCTTCTGCCAAAAAAAATAATTACTAAGATGTTAGTTTTTGTTGCATCTTACATTAATTGGTAATAATCCTACCAGTAACCATTAGAAGTACACTTAGTAAGTCTTTGGCTGAGTACTGGTCTGCACCTGCATGGGGGAAAACTCTATAGGGAAAGAATTAGAAATTCCCAACTGCACAACTCAATGGGAATGATTCACATTCCTGACAGCCAGAATGGAAAACTCCTAATATGCAGAGGCATCAGGTAGAATTATCAGGAGAATCACACCTTGGTAGTGAAGTTTGTTGAGTCCTAGAATAAAGTCTTCCTGAATCTGTTCCAACAACACTTAAAAGCAAACCTGGAAAAAGTCAAACTGATCTCAAGTAACTGCAAACCCAAAAAAGGTCCAACACTCATTAAAGGAATACAAGAAAATCCATCACTTACCAAAGTAAACTTCATGTGTATTAGTTTTCTAGGGCTGTTGTAACAGATTACCACCAGCTTGATATGGCTTAAAACAGCAGAAATTTATTCTTTCACTGTTCCGGAGGCCAGAATTCTGAAATCAGGTTAAGCAAGTAGGAAGCAGAGGGAAGGAAGATGGTGGGATCTAGATGCTGCACTGGCTTCAGGCTGGGACAGAGAAGTTTCCTGATGATTATGGACCCAGCAGATGCAGTGCTGGAGGAGAAAGTGCTCAAGTGTGGTTTATTCAACATAACTTAGCTCGTTGAGTGACTTAGGGCCATTAAGTATATCGATTTTTGGACTGCATCATAGATAATGTTGCAAGGAGAATCTGCTGCTGGACAATACTGACTAATGTTCCACCAGCACACTGGATCCAAGAACCATCGAGAATTCTTCAGAGACAAGTGTAATAATGAAAACCTCTCAAAAGATAATGCAAAGAAGAATTCACCTAAATGTCTTATAACAGCCTGGTAGACTCTGCTTAAACCAAGAAATAGCATCTGGCAAGCACTGTCATGAAGAATGAAAAATGTGTCAGGCAAAAGGAAGCTTGCCCATGGCACTTCCACCATGAATGTGCCCAAGCAACTCAGCAAGCTTTTTAGAAAAAGAAGGAGCTCTCTTCAAATGCATGAATAGTGGTCAAAGTGTGACCAAGTGGATTTTGTGGAACATTTCATTTCCCAGACCTGTCATTACCAACATGGGCACAGAAACACGTGTTTCTAAACTTCTGTCTGAAGAGTAAGAAAAATTGCTGAAAAATTTCATAACCACCTTGTCAGCTCAAGGTTTATATCATATTGATGAGAATGTTCCATCATACCTAAGTGCCAGACCACCATGTGCAAAGAAGGGTACATTATGGAAGATACTTCTCAAGAGAATGATCAGAACACATTTTCTGTGACAAGACCTACTGGAATAAGAAGAAGATAGAAATAGTATTGATTCAAAGCAAACCTCTGCATGGGACTGTGTCTTCCAACACTAGGTGAGGAAAAGCTCCTGATGGAGCTTTATTTTACCCAAAAACAGTGAGATGACAATAAAATTTAATTGGAGATGGAGGTACATGAGTTTATACAGAATCCACTGCAAATTAAAACAAGCAAATTCTGTGTATATACTATGATGCTCAGAAGAGAGAAAGTGTCTTCAGATGAGAAGATAAGAACATATTGATAAACACACACACTAGAATACAAGCAGATTGTCATGAGCCACGTGGCTTTTGTCATGTGCCTTCAATGTGATGAGAGAATGGTCACACTGCTCTGCCAGCACGTAGGCTGTTGACATGTGAAACACACTGACTCTGCATTGTGTAGCACTTTGTGCCTAAATGTCAGTCATGGTATGATGGTGACAGAGCAAGACTGCTGGGGGGGTAGTCTCCCCAGCCGTCACCCTCCTAAGGATGGCATTTGTGGAGTTTGGTAAGAGGGACATTGTTTCTACATCAGGAGATAGCATTGTAGGAGTGTGGAACACAGTGTTTTAAGCAAGTAAGGACCCAAAATGGATGCAAGTGAGGCATTGTCCATGTGCGGTATCTTTAAGAGGCTGGTAACACGTGAGTCATCTGATGCTATAAGGTTGTGAGACTGTGTTATATGATGGTCTTCCAGAGTATCTGTAACAAAATACTATAGACTGGGTGGCTTAAACAACAGAAATTTGCTCACAGTTCCAGCGGCTGAAAGTTTAAGATCCAGTAGCCGGCCAGGTTGGTTTCTTTGAGGCCTCTCTCCTTGGTGTGCATACGGCCACCTTCTCTCTGTGTCCTCAAATGGCCTTTTTCTCAGTGCGCGTGTGCTCTTGGTATCTCTTCCTCTTTTTATAGGGACCCCAGGATGAGGAACAGTGGGAACAAATCCCCACACAGTTTCTGAAACTGGGTTTCAGGTGTCGTGAAAGGGACATGGTGGACCCTCAGTGACCCTGGGGAGTTGGTCTTCTCAGCACAGCCAGCTGCTCGAGTACTGCTCGAGTCCAAAAACGTGTCTTATCTTTCGTTAGTGATTAGGGTCTCCTGTCCCTCCTTGCCTCTTTGCTTCTTCTTTCCTATGTTTGATCCTAGACAAAGATGACTTACAAACGTATTTCATTTTGGGGAAAAATGAGAAAGCAAGAAGGAAAGAATGAGAAAAACACAAGTTCTGATTCTACCACTTATTGGTTTCCTTGACTTTAGGCAAGTTACTTAATTTCTCTGTATATTATACTCCTTATTTATAAAATTGAGATAAGAATCTATGCCCTCATGGGATTGTCATAAAATTAAGTAAGCAACTTACATAAGCAACTAGCAAGGGACCCAGAACATGGCAGGCACTCAGATCATTTTAATTAGCCTTCCTCTTCTATGACAGTGCCACCCAGGAGAATACAGGAGAAGAGGTTTAGAGAAGGAACAACAGAGGGAAAAGTTGAAAATTCCACTTTTACATAAGTGATTTGGCATCAATATACTGAGAGTTATAAGAGCTTTATAAACTTTAAACAACATCCTGCAAGCATGTTGTAAATTAGGGACTGTGCTAAGCAGTACAGTAGGAATTGTGTCTTTCATTTGAATTAAATTATCATTATTGTCCTTGTATAGTGACAGCAGTTAATTCCAAATGTATCCATTAAAATTCCCTGGTTAATGTGTTGGTAAATATTCTAAATTAATTTAAAGTTACCACAAGATTGTTTTATGGACTGTGATGGAATTCCTTGTTTCCAGTTGCCCGTATTCTCAGTCTGAACCTTTCAGCGTGCATGATCTGGCGCCTACTCACTCCTGAAGCCTGTTTCCTGCACCCTTCTCTCCAGGCTCTTACCTCCAATGCCAGGTTCCCACCATATTGAACTGTCTAGCATTTCTCTTCCCTGGACCCTCACACATGCAGTGCAGTCTGCCTGAGACACACTTTCCATCTCTCCTGGTGGCTATTTCCTGATTATCCTTCATTCTCCTACAAAGCCTAAGCAAGTTACCCCTTCTGGAAATGATCCTATTCATTATTGTGTATTCGGGCCCTAGCACGGTACCAGGCAAATTAGGATTTCAGTAAATACTTGTTAAGTGAATGAATCAGTACTCAACCTAAATGCAGAACATTGAAATGATAATTTCCCATTACGTATGGAGTTCTATAACTTGTAAATTTTCAAATCTCATTTACATAGGGAAGAAGTTAGGAGTAGTTTATTCTTTAGTGTACATACTATGTCCTCCTTTATACACTGCATCACATCTAATGAGGTCTGGCTCTTTCTTGTAACTCTGAGGAATTTGTAAATGCCTTTGGAGTTACTCATTTTGAATTCTGTTTTTCAAAAGGAAAATGTCAAATATAGTAACTACTATAATAAAATGGAGAAAGAGGATTCTCATAGAAAGGCGTTTCCTCTTAAAGTTGTATTATTTGAAAATAAGCTTACAAAGGTGTTTTAAAAGGTAGCAGAAGATTTGGATTATTGATGTAAAATACCAAAAAAAAAATGTTTGCATAGAAGTACACCTCAAAAAGAGACATTAACAGTAAGCCACAGTGATGACAATGAAATTATGTAATCAGGTTGTTGCATTGAATTTTTCCTTTTTGTAAAATTGTTGACATTCTAAAGAATTTTTTTTTCAGATGCATCTGCATAGCAGAGGGAATGGGACCTAAAGGTAGTATAAAGCAATTCTAAGAAAATAAATAATGTGTGAACTTTTTTTAATTTGCTCCACAAGTAATTTACTTTGAAAAAAAATTAACATCTGGTATTTTGAAGCTAATCTTAGTGTATTGAATGTTCTTAACCATTTCTCAATCCCACAGCCTTTTATCTTGCTTCTCCTGCTGTGTTCCCACCACCCCTGATCCCATTAGCAAACCTTGAGAAGGCCTCAGACTCACCAAAGTACTGCTTTGGTTTCAGCTGCTCTTCTGCAAGAGGAAGTGAATGTTGGGGGTTTTCTCTGTGGTACAGTTGTGATAAAGCTGTGGTGGTCTTATCTCTCTCTTAGGTGGTGGCTCTTTATGACTACACAGCGAATCGATCAGATGAACTAACCATCCATCGCGGAGACATTATCCGAGTGTTTTTCAAAGATAATGAAGACTGGTGGTATGGCAGCATAGGAAAGGGACAGGAAGGTTATTTTCCAGCTAATCATGTGGCTAGTGAAAGTAAGTTTTATGCTCCCTTCCTGGTTCACTAATATGGTGTAACTGATAGTCCAAGATTTTATCATTTTCTACACTTTAACTTACTGTCTTTGTAACTTTTGCATGTTTCCCAGTGGGTATTGCTTTTCATTCTCATGATGCAAAAAAGTAAAAGGGGCACTGGAGCATTGGTACACACAAAAGCAATTACATTCTGAGATTGGAATATTTGCTTCATGGACTTTCCATCCCAGGGGACATGCCCGTCGCTACCACCTTTCTTTAGCGCCTCTTCCCAGCCACCTGCTTCATGCACTCTTCTGTCACCTCTCCTTTTGCTGCAGTGACTCCTCAGGTGCCTTAAGAAACTAAGCTCCCCAACTCTCATTCTTTCTACTTGTGTCCCCAGGCATAGCTGGTACCCGCTAAAAGAAAACTACATTAGACTGTTGCATTCTCAAGTAAATTAAGCCCTCACTTGTGAAAGGAAAAGGAAAGGAGCTGGAGAAGAAATTCAAAATCCGAGTTTCTGAAAGCTGGAGATTTGCTACCAGGCCTAGAGAGATAATAGAACCAACACAGAGAGCTTGAAAATAAAATAGTTTAATGACTATGAAGAAAAGGGTGGAGTATAGCCGAGCCTTGCAGGAAAAGCACAACCCTCAGGGGTCAGGAGAGCCGACTGCTAGGCCTGGTTTGACGGCTAATACCGATGTGCCTCAGTTTCCCCTATAAAACGAGGAAATTGAGCTCCGTCATCTCTAAGCCTTCTTCCAGAAACGTGGAAGTTGTACAGTTCTGATTTAAAGTGTAGTCGAGGCAGCCTTGAGAACACTCTGTGTTTTGAATGTTTAAGTCTTTTGTTTCTGCAAAGAAATTATTATACATCATAGTTGGCTTTCAGGCTAGTCTCTGAAACCCCATTTAACCCAAACTGTAGTTGAATAGAAGTACTGTTGATTTCTAATCTAAGTTTTGAATTTTGAAGGGAAAAGAACTGAAGGAAATGAGGAAGGAAAATTTCTTTCATGAGTCCTGGCTGCTGGGCTAAAATGTTTTCTCTTGGGCCCCCTTCCAGGGCCCTGTCTGCACCCAGCACTTCCCAGTGCTCCCTCCCCAAGAGCTCTTGAGTCTCACTGCGGCTCCTTCTCCAGCTTATCTGCCGCTTTCAGCAAACTCCTCCCCTTCAAAGAGCTCAGTGTCTGGAAAATTACCCACTTCTCTCTCTCATAGCAAAATTTATAATTTCCTCTGTGCCACTGTTTTAATTCTTTTTTCTGAGTAGTAAATTACTAATAGCACTTAAATGCTCTCTGAGGTATACATTTATGTTTAAAGGAGGATGCATGATGGAGAAAACTTAAGATAGTGTGGAAGGAAGAAATGTTTGGACAGGTTAATTTCCAGTCACCTCTCATAAACTCAGCACTTCTAACTTCCAGATCAGAAGATCTCTGATCTCCAAGTTGCTTCCCTCCGCTTCCCAGCGCCAGCTGTCCCAGAGGATCAGCAGCTGGATCAGCAGGGGTAGCTGCTGTTTTTAAATCAAGAGCTGCCTGCACGGTCTTAATCACTCTGGAGTGTATCAGTAATTGTAACTCGATGTTATAATCCGTTTCTTCCAAATACAAGTGGAAACATTTCAAATATTTTTTCACTTGACAGTATAAAAAGATTGTATTTCCAGGCAGAATGGTATTAGGTGTTCTAACTTTAGAATCTAGTTAGTTTGCAGAAATAACCTCTTAGGTTTATAAATCTAGAGAGGCTATTGATATTTGATCCACAGGGGATTAAAGAGTCAACAAAATGTGGGTTTTTTCCACAGTAACCAAAGTGCAACTTCTGAAGCATGCAGCAGTGATACTACTTGGTGGCTGCATGCAGAAATCAGTTCTGTTTCTCAGGGGCTGGCCATCTCTCAATTGCCATAATTCCTTACTGTATCCCAGAATAATTGATGTTTTCTTTTGACATCAGTCACTGCATGTTGGAAAGCCTTGTAGAGGCCAGAACAAACAAAAAATTTTCAGAAAACCGAAGAATATAATGATTGAATTCTCATTTCATCAGGGGTTCTTTTCCTTTTGTTTTAGACTACTTTTTACCTGAATTTAATAAAAACTCATCTCTGCATTTTTAACATTCGAGAAAAAAAATGACTGTCAGCAGCATATTCCACTCTAAAAATAGTAGGAAAAAAATTGTCCTTTATCTGAAGCCAGATATGCAAAGCAAATGATCTAAGGGAGCGTGTGTGTATTTGTATGCATACATACATACATACATACATACATACATACATAATCTCTATTATCAACCCTTCAATTGAAAGCCATGTCCTCTCAGAGAACGACACAATAGAAGAAGTTGGTACTCTGTTATCACAAAGCACATTCCCTTTGTATCTTACACCACTGGAAAAAAAAACTTGATCAACTTCCGTTAATGACATTTAGCGTCCTTTCCAATAAGAGATAAACCCAGTAATAAAATCAACCCATACACAAAACCCATTAATATATCTCATAATTTTAGAATTTTTATCAGGTTTATTTTAGCATTTTCTCTCAGTTCAGTGTTGCCCAAGTCATTTAACCAAAGCAGGTTTCCTTTTTAGCCCTTTAAAATTCCCACACAAGTTTTTAGATTCAATACCATGTGTGGATTAAATAGATTATTTAGATTATAAGAATCTTAGCTCCAACACTGTGAATAGATTCTGTGTCATGTTTAGTGCCAGCCCCCTGCTTGTTTATTTCATACCGTCTTTGCAAATTATCCACACCTCCACCTGGCAAAATCCTACCTATTTTTCAGTCTGACATACCTACCACTTTTTCCATTAAGCATTTGCCATCCCCACATCAGGATTTGTCTTTCTTTTATCTCTCTTTAGAATAATATCCCATTCTATTTCATATTACAGTTAACTGTGAACATATCTGTCTCTGACCGGATTGTAAGCTCCTTGAGAGCAGAGACTGTCTTTGATCATCTTATCTCCTCCAGCAGTACCTGACAGATAACCTTGCATATAGCAAGTTCTTGCTAAATTTGTATTAAGATAAAACGAAATAAGCATCTGCATGAACCACATACACAGTAAGTGAAAATGACACCTTGTACATTTCTGAAATCCTGCTGATGAAAACTTTCCAATAATAACTTACGTTCTTTTGATAACGAATGTGTAAGACTACAAATCGCCTTAACGATAAGTGCTGGGTAGCTTATTATACACCAAGGAAGTGCATATCAGTGTCTCTGGTTTCATACCTGCCCCCCTCCAGTGTTGTGTTTCCACGTGGGACAGTGCTCCTCAGTTTGATGACCAGAATTCTCTGTTCAATTCCAGCACTCTATCAAGAACTGCCTCCACAGGTAAAGGAGCGGTCCCCTCCTTTAACTCCTAAGGAAAAAGCCAAAATGGAAAAAACTTTTCCGGCTCCTCAAAAGGTAAGGGTTTTCAAGGATATATATTACATATACTTTGATTTTCACTCTTTCTGGATAAAATATTACTTTATTTTTCATGCTTATATCCTTCATTGTTTACATTGTTTCTTTTAATACTGGCACCAACATTTATAATATATAAGGCAAATATTATTATAGCCATTTTCCAGATAAGGAAACTGAGGAGGCTCAGAGAGATTAAAGTAGATCCCCAGCCTCAGCCCAAGTGTTGGGACGAGAACCCAAAGTGGAACTTGGTGACTTTAAGTGTGACACTATTTCTCCTCTACATATGTTTCTGTAGCTGTGAGACTGACCCCATCATCAGCCCCACCTGAGGGGTACATGTTTCTACTAAAAATCGCTGAAGCCCACAGAATAAAGATGCTTTATCTTCCTGGAGCATTCGTCTCACTTGCTAGTTATTTTAAAAATTTTCAGCTTAAAATAAATATGGATATATTATCAGCCAGAGAAATGTCATGTTTTTTCAGCTGTGCCATCAGCTCCCTCAGGGATATGTTCTGATGTTGGTAGTGTTTTGGCAGAAAAGTTTAATAGGCACTGTGCCATCATATATAGGACTTACAACGTATTATGTGACATCAGTGCTTCCCTTAGACCGAGTAACTTCGCTTCTGTATGAGTCCATGAACTGGCTGGCATATATATACATTTTTTTAAACAAACATCATGCCATGATGGAGTTTTTGACAGCTGAGCCTGTCATGTATCGTTCAGCCATTCAGCCTGTGTTTGTTGAGTGCTTCCTTGGTATGAGTCTTCACTGAGACAAGATCGAATGGGCAAGACACTTGAGGAGCCTACAGACTGGTGGGTGAGAACACCGGCCAGCAGGCGATTCCAGCAGACTCTGGTAGGAACTGAAAGGAAAATCTGGGCAGGATGCTTTGGGCACCGACAGGAAGAAACCCTCTACATCTGCCCTGGGGGGGTCCAGGAAGAGTTCCCAGAGGAGGTCAGGCTTCAGCCGAGGCTTACAGGGTGGAAAAGTATGTGCTAGGTAGATGATCTTAGGAAAAAAATTCTAGCAGAGGGAGTAATTTGAGTAAGGCATGGTATGGAATGGTTGTGTTTGGGGAGCACAGGGTCTGAGGGAGAGAAGAGCAGGAGAAATGGGGGAGCAGGCCTGGTGTACTCTGCTAAGGTGCTTAGATGGTGTCCTTCAGACAGAGAGGAGCCCCTGGAGAAGGTAATTCAGGGGGTGACAGGTACAGCTTTCCAGGATAAAAGTACCGTTCTGGTGGCAGCATAGCACTTGGGTTAGAGACAGCTGAGGCCTAGGGCAGGGAAATTGGTTAGGAATCAATTTCCTAACCAATTTTAAAAGTATAAAAGCCTGAAGTAGTGGGGGGGGGCAGTCATAAGGTATAATTGACAGGATTTTATGATTGATGGGATGTGATTAGTGAAGTTGGAATCTAGAATTGTGCCAAAGGCCCTGGCTTATTATACAACTGAATGGATAGTGGTATCACAGAAATAATAAAAGAATAAGGAAGATTTGGGGAAATAGAGACAAGGAATGGTGTGAGTGGGATGTGATGAGTTGTTTTAGATACCTTGATTTGTCAGTAGTGTCTGCAATGCTCCCAGGTAGAAATACTCCCCAGGGAGCTAGGAATGCAGGATTGGAATTTGAGGGAAGAGCTTCACAGTAAAATGGAGAGGAGTTAGAGTATCCATGTATTATATCAGGAGAGTTGAAACTTGTAATGAAGGAGGCAGCACAGGAGAAAAGGGTTCTGAGAGGAGGTGGCCAAGGACAGAATCCGGTTGACCATGAACTAGTATTTAAGGGACAGTCAGATAAAGAGAAGAAAATTAAGAAAGAATAATCAAAGGAGAAGGAAAGAACCAGAAAACAAAACAAAACAAACAAAAAGCAATGGCCTGGAAGCTAGGGAAAAAGAAAAGTTCAAGGAGGGTACAGTCAAGAGTGCCAGAAACAGCCAGTCAGTTCAGCTGTCTAAGCATTTGGCTGGCAGGAGGACCCTGGCCCCTCTGCACTGGTATCAGGGATGGTACTAATATGATAAGGATTGAAAAGCAGAATGGGCCTCAGCAAGTGAACTCGTGGAAGCCATTCCCAGAGCTCAAGGAAAAAACAAAGAAAAAAACTCAAAGGAAAAAACAAGTCAAGCAGTGGCTGGAGACCTAGCTCTAGGAATGACTTTTTAAACACTGGAATGACGTATAGAATTATACACTAAGGAATCAAAGCCAGTGGACAGGTTCAGGCTGAAGATAGATTAAGAAAGCAGACACGGACCTTGGAGGAAGCAGGAGGTTTTTCGGGGAAAGACAGGTTGATAGACTTAGTCTTGGCTTAGAGCCGGGGTTCTCTACTGAGGGTGATGATTCTGCCTTCCAGGAGACATATGACAATGCCTGGAGATATTTTTGAAGACATCTGCAAGGCAAGGGGTACTAATGGCATCTAGTGGGTAGAGGTCACAGATGTTGCTAAACATTCTATAAGGCACAGGATAGCTCCATTCAACAAAGGACTGGATCATCTGGCTGTGCTGAGCTTAGTGCATTACTCCTCTGAACAGATAAAGATGCAGGTAAGCTTAAAGCATGGAAGCCTAGAAAATAAGGCTGTTTTCATGTTCTCCAAAACAGAAAGGAAGGCCCACTTCAAATGTGAGTGTCAGAGGAGTGAAGTAGGAAGAAGAGTAGTGGAGGTTAGAATACCTGTGAGGACAGCAGGAGCTCACTGGGGACAGGTGAAGAGATTCCTGAGCAGTTCTGGAAACTGCTGTTTGGACACCATAAAAATCCAGGTGGCGTCATTCTGTGCAGTTGGATTTTTTCTTCAATGGGGCTCAGCCTCTAGGGCGTAGCAGTGATGAGGGCAGATCTGGTTTGATGCACCACTGGAGTTGTTGTGGGTGTGACAGAGAACAAGAGGCTAAGAGACTTGATAGCATTGGTCAGAGAGGCCTTAGAGTGACACACCAAGGAGGATCAGCCCAATTGGAAAGGACGGGAATCAGGGGAGGACTTAGAAAGCAAGGTTCTCTGCCAGGTTGCAGCAGGCCACCCATGCCCCAGTGGCAGCATAGGGTCAAGCAAGTAAAAGGGTTAACAAGCTGGAACTGTGGCCTGTAAATACAAAAACTCTTTTGTTTAGTTGCTGTATCAGATGTCAGGCAGCTCAAGGTTATGATAAATTCACAGAGTTGTGTAAGAGCTGAAGTGAAATCAAAGAACACGTTACTAGAATTGAGCTGGCCAAGGAGTTAGGACCCAGAGTACTGGGCGGATTGTCCTGTTGGACATTCAAATTCTGGGATGTTTGCAGGAGTTGGCATGAAGAGGACACGAATGATCCAGGAGCTGAAGTCCTTAATTCTTATGTTGGAGCAGATGTCTCAACCTTGGCTTCACATTGAAATCACCTGAGAACTTAAAAAAATAAATGCCTGTCCCCACACCCACAAACTGATTTAATAGGTCTGGAATGGAACCTTGGCGTGGGTAGGTTTCTGAAGCTTTCCAGGTGATTTTAATGCACAGCTAACATCGAGAACCATTGTGTCAGAGTGACCGCAAGGTCCAATGATAACAGCTCCAAAGATGATTAGAGGGTGGTGTAGCCACATGTCGAGGCACCCAAGGAGGAGAGCTTTGAAAGTATAGTAGCCTGAAATCAGCAGCAGAGAGCTAAGAGGAGGCCAGTGTGAACTTCAGCCCCCGTGGTTTGTAGCCGGGTTGTGCGTGAATGAACAGCTTATGCTGCAAAGAACTGAAATAAATCCAATTCTTGGTAAAACTCAAATATAGCAAGGATTTATGGAGATGGTTGCCTCTAACAGTATGGGGAATACAAGGGATACAGTTGAAAGGCCTGGCAGGGAATTTGACTATGGGGCAAATGCCACATGTGTAATAGTAAACATTGTTTGGAATTCACCAGATCTAAGAACTTAGAAGGATGTTAATATAAATTTACAACCTAAAGGTATGTAATTCACTGGGAGCTTTTGCAACATTGGCATAGAGCCACTGTGAAAGTTAACAAGATTTACAGTCTATGTCAGGAGCTGTGTAAGATGCTATGAAAGACACAGCCCTTACTTGTACTGGCTTACTGGTATTCCCGACTGCATCATGATGACCTCTGAACGTGGGGTTACCTGACCCCCACCTTTGTTTGTTCCTGTTGAATAGCCTTGAGCTAATCCTGCTTCAGCCAGAGGAGATGCAAAGAACCCTGTCAGTATCTGACTTATGCTTCTTCCTGCTGCACCCGTGTTCCTGTGGATAAAGACTTCCTACCCCCTTCCATGACTCCCCAGTTCTCGCTGCCTATGCCGCTCCTCTACCTAGAAGAATTCGCTGCATCAGAGTCTTAGTTTAGACTGTAATTGATTTTGTAATTTTCTGTGCCTTTGCTTTTCACAGACTGATCTCCATGCTTAAAATAGGTCTTTATATTCCTATCCCAACCAACAGTTCTTCACATACCCAACTTTACCCTCGAGGTCTGCTTCAGGCTATCCCACTGCTAGCCAATCTCTAATTCTAATAGATCTCAAAGAACTTGTAGATATGAAAGTAAAACATTTAAAAACATAAATTAGGTAAAGCAAGGGAGTTGCAGAGGATAAGAATGCATTTAGGCAAGGGAATAGAAAAGTCAGGGAGAAGATGGAGCTTGAATTGGGCTTTAAAGCTTAAGGTACATGGATTTCTTTTGTTAAAGAACGTGATTTGATCGGCTTTATCAGAATCCATGTGTTGGAATAGAATCCTATGTATCTTTCCTGTTAGGAATGTACCATGGGCGTAGTTAGACAATGGTTTACTTTCCTGGGGGAGAAGCTATAAAGAATGATCTACACTTCATGTGAGAAGTCCCTGAGGAACATTCTTGTTGTCCCAGGAAACCAAAGTGCGTTATGTGCACTCTGAGCCATGATGCCAACAGCCAGCCCTTGAGAAATATGTAACTGGGCTTCCTTGGCACC